CTCTCATCTAGGATGTTCCACTCTACCTGCATCTAAACACGTCCAGAACTGGACTCAATATCTTCCCCAGGCCTGGTCACCCCCCAGGCTTCCCGTCTTGGTGAAGAGCATCACCTCCCACCCTGCTGCTGGGACCAAAAATGTGGGAGTCCTCCTTACCTCCTCCCACAGCTTCCCACCACCAATGAAACATCGAGTCCAGCAGTGTCTACCACCTAAACCATAAAATCTGTCCCATTCTTCTCTGCCTCCCTAGTCCAAAGGCCCCCCCACTCTCAGTGGACCCCTGCAAAAGTCTCTTTATTAGTTCCCCCAAATCTGCTCTTTCCTTGTACCAATCCATGCTCCTCACAGCAACTAGAATGACATCTTAATAATGCTCCTTCCTTGGGCTGGCCCATGGCTCACTTGGGAGAGTGTGATGCTGATAACACCAAGGCCACGGGTTCAGATCCCTATATAGGGTTGGCTGGTTAGCTCACTTGGGAGAGCCTGGTGCCGACAACACCAAGTCAAGGGTTAAGATCCCTTTACCGGTCATCTTAAAAAAAAAAAATGCTACTTTCTCATTTAAATCCTTTGCTAAAAGACTTCCAATGGCTATCCACTTTTAAAAGAATTAATAATCATTATTGTTATAGCTAACAGTTATGGAAAACTTATTATGACTAGGCCCTGTTCTAAGGACTTTACACATATTAACTCATTTAATCCTCACAACTGTAAACATCACCATTACACAGATGAGAAACAGACTCAGAGAAGCAACTTCAGGGCCTTTTCATAAGTTCTTACCCCATCATTGACTCTGACCTGGTTGACTGCTATTCAAACTTCAGATGGGATGCCTTAGGGAGCATTTGAGGATCTCTCTTGCTAGGTCAGGCCCTTCTATAGCATGTGTCCCAGTTTTAATTATACAGTTACTCAGCGGGGTCATTTGATTGATATCTGCCACCCCAATAGGCTTTAAATTCTATGTCTTTTGCTCATCATTGTATCCTCAGGACTCCACATATAACAAATACTCAACATCTGTAGAATGAATCAGTGAAAAGTGTTTTTAATAGGACAGAGGATATAGTCAGATTTGTTTGAGAAGGATTCCTCTTGTGTGGAAGCTTGAAGGTGGTGAGACCAAGTCACTAGCAGCAGCTGATTCCCAAGTGGGAAGGAGGCAGGCTGGACAAGGGGAGTGGCAGTGGGAAAGGAGAGATGCAGGTGAGCCTGGGAAGTGCTTAGGAGGCAGATTGAGTGCATAGAGGTGAGGACGAGAGAGAAGTCAAGAGTGACTCCTAGGTTTCTGGCTTAGGCAGTGGGTACCTTGAACTGGGATGGGGAGCACCTGGAAGAAAAGAGGCAGCTTGGGTTGGCAGAGCAAGTGGCCCCTAGACCAAGTCAACAGAAACATGGATGTTCTCAAATCTTTGCATCCAAACTCCTCAGCTTGGTCCTGGTGTACTTTATCTAGCCTCATCTCCAACCTACCCCCAAACTCCGGACACACGACCACTGATCCTACCCCAAGCCCAACTCTTCCTACTCCCTGCCTCCTAGGTGCTGCCCTACATCCTCGCTCCTCCCTCAAACTCCACAAGACTCAGCTCAAGGACGTCTCCTCTGGGATCCCTCCCTGCTCCCCCCACCCCTTTCTGGGGTCATCATGTCCTCCACTGATTCCAGGATTCACTGTACCAGAAACGTTTCTCTGCCCGTCTCGCCTAACGACTGTTCTCAATTCTGAACCCTAGTACCTGGTACAAGGCCTGGATCAAGATAAAGCTCAAAAAAGTTTGTTTTATTGGATTTTCGCAAGGACGTGGATTTATCACATTAAGAGTTGGGTCCAGGAATGGTACATTAAATCCCGGTGTCACCACTTAGAGATTGGACAATTTACTTCTCTCAAGCCTCAGTTTTCCCATTTGTCAAATGGAGATGATAATACAGTAGACCTACCTCGAAGAGTTGTTTTGAGGGCCAAATAAAATACTCTGTGCTAAGCGTTTAGCACAGTTCCTGGGACATGATTAGCTCCGCCCCCCCCCCAAAAAAAAATTAGCTGTGATTTTTTTTTTTTTTTTTAATTCTCACCCTAACGCCAGGAAGGGGCATGAACTGGAACTAAGTGTTGCAGTTCCCAGGATGACCGCGCGAGGGAAGTGGTGAGCAGCCTCCAAGCGGACTCGCTCGGCTCGGCTAAGGCACCTGCTGAGGACCCAGATGGCTCGGCTGGGGTTTCCGGGGCTTTCCGGCCCGTGAACAGGTGGGCGCTGGGCAGGGAGCCGTGGAAGGAGCCTCCGCGATGTGCTCGGTCTCGACTCTCACAGCCCCGGCCGTCCCTCGTGCTCGTCCGCTTCTTGGCTTGGGGGAGGAGCTGGCAGGCCAGAGGGAACAGAGTGAAGGGCGACCGGGATATATCCCCTCCATTTTGTCACTTATCTTTCAAACTTGATTATGGTCATTTCTTCTGTATAGAAGTTTTTACAGTCACATTTATCGATATTTCCCCTTATGGCTTCTAGGTTTCATCGTGCTTACAAAGTTTTTTCCATCTCCAAGATTATTAAAACATTCATATTTTCTTCTTTTTTTAATTCTTTGGGAGTTTTTTGGTGGTGGTTGTTTCAGTTTTTGTTTCTTCTCTCATGTTCTCTTCTGGGACGTTATGTTGTTGTTACTCGAATATGTGCTCCACTTGGAATTTATTTTGGTGTAGAATAAGGACACAGCTCTCTTCTATTTCCTGCAATGACTTGCCAGCTATTCCACCCACTTTTTGCAAGGCCTGTCTCTCCCCCCCCCTCCCCCCATTTATCTGAAGTGCTATTCTTTATTATACACTGATTTCCTTTCTGTGACTGGGTCCATTTCCACACTCCATTTAGTTCCACTGATGTGTCTAGTCCTGCTTCAATACCGTAATGCTTTAAATACATTGACTTTATAATATGTTTTAATATCAGGTAAGGCAAATCTCTTTTCATTATTTTTCTAGATTTTTTTATTCCTGCATGTTTATTCTTTCATATGCACTTAAGAACCCCCCCCCCCATCTTAATGGAAGCCAATTTGTAAGGCTGGACTCCCTGAAATTATATGCAAAATGTATATTTGCACATTTCTCCAGAGACAAAGTTGGAAATTTTCATCAGATATGCAAAGGGACCGTGATTCCAAAGGGAGCCCCTGGTTTACATGTCTCTGTAACAGGCAAGCGAGGAGCACAGAGGAAGCCTGACTTGTCTCCTCTCTCCCACATCCTCACAGCCTCTGCTCTACGCATCTTTCACTTTCACCATTCTTCAAGATACTTCCCTGGCTTCCGTCTTGCCTCCCCTAATCTAATTCCTCTTGCTGCTCAAGAACAACTGTTCTACCACAGAGGCCCTAGTTCTAGGCCCAGGTCTGAGTAGATTAGATGTTAACAAAACTTTAAGTAAATAAGATCCTGAGTACTAGCTTCACCTCTGATCAGCTATGCAACCCAGCTTTAGGCTCTCCAAGTTGTTGAGCTCAGTTTACCCTTCTCACAGACCAGGTGAGAAGGGGTGAGATAGGATGAGGGGTATGTGGAAGATACAGCTAGCTATCCCCAGGAGGGTCCTTTAATCTTAATAATTTTCCTTTTCTCCCCACCTTCCCACTCCCCATTCACATTTTAATTCATGCCCTTAGCAGGAACACTGCTTATTTTACTGGTCTCCAGCAAATATTGATAATACTGTCCTCTCTCTAACTTTTTTTTTTTGGTCCTTTTTTTTTTGAGACCGGCTTCACTGCGCTCAGCCAGTGAGCGCAGGGGCCATCCCTATATAGGATCCGAACCCGCGGCGGCAGCGCCGCACTCTCCCGCTCGGCCCATCCTCTCTCTAACTTAGTGGAATTAACAGTGAAGCCCCAGAGTGGAGTTGACCAGTCCTAAGCAAGGTTAAACACAGTAAAGTTGGGGGTAGGCATGATCCTAGGAGAAACTTTATACAGCATCCTCCTCAAGTCTGAAGCTGTCAAGGAACCCAGTACTTAGGGAGTCTGCTTGGAAGTTCATTTAGGCAGATTCCAGACCCTAGGACAGGGTTTCTCAGCCTCAGCACTACTGATGTTCCAGGCCTGATAATTCTTTGGTGGGGAGTGTCCTGTGCATGGCAGGATGTTTAGCAGCGTCCCTGGCCTCTTCTCATTAGATGCCAGCAGCAACCCCCAGTTGTGAAAACCAAAAATATTTCCAGATGTCAAATTTACCTGGGGGGTGGGGGGTGGCAAAATCTTTCCAAGTTGAAAACCACTGCCCTAGGAGTAGAAAGGGCAGAGGAAGGAAGTTAACTTGGGTCTCAGGGCAGAACACTCTCTACTCTCCTTCCCTCTGAAAGAGACATTATGAAGTCTTTTTCTTCATAGCAAGCACTTGGGCAAATCTTTTCCCTTCTCTGAACATCAGTTTATTCATCTGTTTATTCATCTGTTTATTCATCTGATGTTTGTAAGTCGTTTCCCCTTCTCCCACCACCTGACGTTCCTGGATCTGGCCCAGAGTAGGGCAGGGGGCACCGCGGTGACAGTGAGGTCCTGGGCGGTGCCCCAAAAAGAAGGAAGGATGAGAAAGAACAGATAGGGCTGATTGTGGAGTCGGGTAGCCAGGCAGGAGACAGGAGCTTTCTAAGGACATGGAGAGGCTTGAGGCGTCCCCAGATCCCGCTCCTTCGAGGCCCGCTCTTCTGAGGCCTCATTCACGTAGTTGGCCTCACCCAGGCAAAACCAGACTCTCCAGATTCTCCTAGGCCCCGCCCACCACCGAGGTCCAGCCCCACTGGCCCCGCCCACCAACTGCCCCCGCCCCCCAGGCTGAGGCTCCGCCCTCAGAAGACCCCGCCTCCCTCTTCGCCTCCCGCCAGCCCGGGCTCGGGCTTTGCACCCGGAGGCGACTGAGAACGGTGGCGGCTGCGGAGCCGGTAGCGCAGGCGGG